CGAGGACTCGGAGGAGAGGGGCCGCATCCTGATATCGCTGATGTACAACAGTCAGCAGAGCTGTCTGGTAGTGGGCGTGGTCCGCTGCGCTCACCTGGCCGCCATGGACTCCAACGGCTATTCTGACCCATTTGTCAAAATGTGCATCCTACTTTCATCCACCTTTATTTCATTAGCTCTTTCTTTTCTTTTTTTTTCTTGTCGATGACTGAATCGCGTCCAGAACTTTCTGCTTCTTTGTTGCCGTAGATGTCTGAAGCCAGACATGGGGAAGAAAGCCAAGAACAAGACTCAGATCAAAAAGAAGACCTTAACCCGGAGTTCAACGAGGTCAGTTCCTTCTTCTGAACCGTGCCCTCCGACTCCACCCGCAGGTTATGTAACAGAGCCCGCGTTTCTTCACTGGGTTTCAGGAGTTCAGTTACGAAATTAAACATGCTGAGCTCGCCAAGAAAACTCTGGACGTTTCGGTCTGGGACTACGACATGGGGAAATCCAACGATTTCATCGGTAAGTCCACAGACAGATTTCTTCATGAGTTCAGGGGTTGTTGGGTTGTTTATATGTGGTGGTGTCGAAATTTGAAAAGATGTGACAACGAGCCAGGCTTGTCTGGCTCATTTGATTGAATTCATCAGACATGATGTGCAGTCACACAGCATTCATCCTGCAGATGCACCGATCCACTTGTTTCACCTCTGATACCAATACAGATATTTGAGGTTGCTGAATTCAATGAAAATGTTGTTTTTCTTTTCTTCTTTTTAAAGACACAGACATGAATGAACTGAAATGCAGATTTATTTCATGACTCTGCACCAGTGCAGCATTTTGTGAGGAAAATGGTCTAAAGTAGTCAAACCCCACCTTCATTCCTACTGTGGTGGACTGCATCAAAAGCAGCATTGAGGTCTAATGGCACAAGCATAGACTCATGTTCGCCATCTGATCTGAGGTTCAGGTTGTGTCTTTGCCTCTGAGAGGAGAAATCTGTACCAGTCTGTTATCGTTATCTATGTCAGGCTATGACAATATCATTAACGGTGGGGTGGTCCGGTCAGAAAACACAAAAGGTTTTTAAGCTTGTTTGCAAAGACATGCAGAAGCATTAAACCACCAGAGCGAGGAAATAAACTCATTTAGATGAGAAAACCTTCTCGCTGATGCAAAACTTCTTAAAGCAAGAGAATGTTCTGGTTTTAACGAGATTAAAAACCTCGCTCTAACTAGATTTATTAAAACCAATATATCTCATTTTGCATCTTGTTTTAAGAAGAAACCTGCACCTGAATTTATTTACTAGCACTGGAAGTTAAACGCCCCCATAAAAACACTGAATCCTCCAAAAGACAAGCAATTGCAATGGATAAAAATAATGAAATGAATAAATATGACATTAAAACAAACATTTGTTGTACGATGTCAATGGAAGCCTTTCTGTATGAATGACCACATTACTCTTGATCTCATGTGTCTGGTTTTCAGGGGGATGTCAGCTCGGCATCCAGGCTAAAGGCGAGAGTTTGAAACACTGGTACGAATGCCTCAAGAACAAAGACAAGAAGATCGAGCGCTGGCATGTCCTGCTGAATGACAACACCGTCCAGTTTGAGGATTAATTCACGCCGTGATGATTCAGTTATCTGCTTCTTTATTCCATCTCTGCTAAATGTTTTCCAGTTTCTAAAGTTGGTACTGATTCCTCCGTGTGTTTGTATGGAGCTTTCCCCAGAAGTCCAATGTGAATTTTAAATTTCTGGTGACAAACATGGATGTCGATCTAAAGTAACCCGCCCCCCGTCCCTCACCTACCCACCCTAAACTAATCCAGGAAGCTTATCGTATCGCACCTTGTAAAACATGATAAAGTTGCCTCTGAACTGAGCCTTTATCATAATTCCCGGGGCAGATAAAGTCTTTGTTATCGCTGCTATCAGGTGAGGATGTTGTATTGAAGAGTGCACAGATGCTCAGACTCAACAGAGGGAATTCCCGGTCGTCTTTCTGACCTCATGTCGTTCCGGTGACCACGTCATTGCTGGGTGAAGAGGTCGGCTTCCCTGATGTGTCTAATCACAGCTCATTGGTTAATGTGTGTTGTTATTCTGGTGTGTGCGTCGTCCAAAACAAAGCAAGCAAAAAAATATATATATTTTATTCGTACCAACCGACTATGCGCTTTGCATATGTTCAATTATGAATTTGAGACTGAATCAACAAAGCCCAGTTATGAACTTTCTGAGGTGTATGCAGACACACAGAGGCAAGCTGCCAGTAACTTGTCATTTTATTAGTGATGTAAACTAACCTGAATATTTACAAGCCTTTTCTTGATAGACTGAAATAACTCACCTACTGTCTGTCAACCACTTTGAGAAGCTTTTTTCATTTGTTCTCCCTCTTCCATTTTTCTTTTTTGTTTCCTGCCCTCAAGAGATTTCCTTTATGCTTCTCCATCTTTAGCCAGCTGCCTTCTTCTTGATTCTTATTGCCGGTCAGACAACGTAGCAAGACAACACAATTCAAATGTAAAATAAAAATAAAAAAAAAGTTGCGGCTCAGAACGTTCTCGACCTGGAATAATTTTCCGCCGTCGTTTTGGCGCATATGGCGTGAAATGTATGACGTCATATCAGAGCCATTGTAGACAGAGTAAAGGGGAAGAACACAATCCCGTCAAAATAAAAGTGAGAAATTGTCGAATTAATCTCAGAAATTTGGCATAAAATTTCTGAGTTTGAAAAGTTGGAAATTGAACTGAAATTTTATTTTTTTTTTTCGGCTTAATCGGAGAAATTTGCTTGAATAAAACAAGATAATTTCTGATTTTGAGAAGTCAAAAAGTTGCTAGAAAAAAAAACATTTTAAAATTAAACTCAAAAAAAAAAACATGCACATTTCTGAGTTAATTTTAATTTTTTTGAGCTTTTTTTTTATGGAAATCAACTTTTTTTTTTCTATCTACAATGGCTTTAATACACCATTGGCAGAAAGGCTTTCGGCTCCACGCAGCTAAGACCTGTGCATGTGTGACTTTCTGCTGGAGAAATTCAAAAGGCAAAATTAACGCTTCTGCATGGACCTTCTCCATGAAATGATCATAAAACTAAATAAGACCAAGCAGCGGTTCAATAAAACACAATGAAAAGATTCCTGTTCTGAACTAACTCTATATTTCAGTCAGGTGAAATACTTGGCAGCAGCTTATTCTCCCTGTATTGCTGCTGATGCATGTATGAACCCATGTTGTTGCATACATGTGGCTAACTAATAAAGACATGATGGCACTTGAATTTTTTGTTTGTTTGTTTTTCCTTCTTTCTGTGACATGGCATAAACTTTGTCTGAATCAGGCGAGGTCTAATCCAATCAGCTGATGCAGACACGCAGATGAGAATCAAGTGGATTTTGACCTTTCTTGATAATGCACTTTCCCTCCAAGTGGGTGAAAGGTCACAGGCCTGATTGACTCCCTCTGACCTTGAATGCAGTCAAATAAATTCAGGTATTGATCCTGCAGAAACGTCCGATAACTCCAGGCTAACTTGTTAATGAGTGTAATTAAATGAAACTAAAGTTCAGCACGTCAGTCGAGCAGAACAAAAGTATACGCAAAATCAAAAGTGAACGAGACACGAAGAATAAATGATGATTGTGAAAAGCTGATGTTTAGAACCAAGATGGTCTATAAAACAAGACATAAATGCAAATTGAAAAAAAGGTGTCTGGAGACAACAAGTTCTGGAAAATGATCCCAAAAAGGAGGTCGTACGTGAATTAAATACATTGGTATCGTAAAGCTGCGAATGGATTAAAAAATGTGAAATAACATTTAGACATAAAAAGTACATTTTAATTTCAATAAAGCAGGAAACCTTTTTTTTAAAAAATCCAGATTGAGCTAAAACTGCAAATATGTCAGCCAAAAGAACCCTGAAACAACTGCACAATGATTGGATGATGTCGTTCCTACAGCTGCTTTGTTATTGGACGATTGGGTGCATTGACGATATTGTGATTGTCCTCCACACACCTGAATCAAATGAACGGTTGTCACCAGACAATGACTGCTGAGGAGAGAATCTGACGTTCTGGTCCACACGCAATACCAGTTGGTGGCGGTAATGCTCCATTTTCGTTGCTTGCCAACTGCCAATAAACATCAAAAAAGAAGACAACTATTTCAGAAATTAAATTCTGATTTGAAACTAAATGAATAACTAAAAATGGTGAGGACAGGATGGTCATGAACGTATGAGGAAATAAATCAAAACAGGTCTAAATATGCCACTCATTGATAGAGAAGTAATGAAGACATTTTCAAAATGAATAAACATTTGATCAGAATCCACATTTCCACAAAAAAAAACAAAAACAAAAAACAACACATACAAAAATAGTCATTTCCCGTTGCTTTTCTAGGAGGTCTAGTCATTTAAAAACACTTTTCTGGCACAAAAAGTGCAAAAGAGTTGAGCTGCAATCCAAGCATTAGGAAACTTGAGGTCTCACCTGCTGTCACCTTCCTAAGATGATGGCCTGAGTCTTTTTTTGCCAAAAGATTTTCTTGCTTGTTTTAAAAAATTACCACCTTTTGTTGACAAAGGATGAGTTAGGGGGGAAAAAAAACAAACAAACAAACAAAAAAACTCATGGCCAAAAATGACTTGGGTCATTATTATAGGAAGGTGAAAATATAAAAACTCAAAACATGTCTTTTTGCATGCGTGTGTGCGTGTGTGTGTGTGTGTTTGGTTCAGCCAAACAAAACAGCCTTCATTGGTTGCCTAACAATAGAGGTGCGTCTGTTCTGGACTTTCACAACGCATCTGACATGTTCAGCTTCATTCATCACAGCAGAGAAGACAAGTCCAGAAATGTCTGTGGAAATCAATAGTTGAGTTTATCACACCTCCATTCAGCATGTTGGGGGTGTGTGTCTGAGCAGCACTGAGGCATTAGTCAGATTTACAGTTAAAAACATGTAATGTGTGTGTGTGTGTGTGTGTGTGTGTGTGTGTGTGTGTGTCTCACTAATGATATTGTGGCTGTAAATGTGGGGCAGAGAGATAGGGAGTTGTTTGGCTACGCTGCCTGGTCACGTGTCTGATCTGGATGTTAATCCACCGGAAAACCTTCCTCTCCTCCTCCTCCTCCTGTTCTTCTTCGCCTTCATATTTAAAACCGACCTGGACTCTACCAATGAATAAAAACCCTCCCAGAGGAAGAAGTTAGCACTTTGCTGCAGAGTTCAAGTGGAGCAGTCTCTCTCTCTCTCATCCGGCCGCAGCTCCATCGATGCGCCAAGATGACGCACATCTCCGCTCTCTTGGCTCTCACTGTGACATCAGCCCTCCTGGTCTGCACGGCCGCGCAAGCCTCCATCCACTGCAGCTGGAGCAAAGTTTCTTCCGACGGCCGACTGCACGTCAGCTTCCTGCGGGGGGATCCGCGCGGCAGCGCCGCGGCGCCGCGCCTGTACCATGGCGTCTGGTCCGGGCAGCGCGCCCTGCTCGGCTGCACCTGGAGCGATGACGCAGCGCTGACCCAGAGCTACCTGTCTGAGTGCCGGGGCCGCGCGTGGGGATTCGACGACCGCGCGGGGGAAGCGTTGGGTCTGGAGTCCTTGTTTGACGCGGGTCGGTGCGTCTCTCTGGCCTCTGCGAGCCTCGCTAATCTCCCGGAGCGCACAGCGGGGAGACACGTGAGGAGCCTCGGGGGTCAAGGCGAAGATGAAAGGTCAGGGGTTAGGATACATGCGCGTGTGAAGCGCGGCTTTATCGTCCCCGGGACTCTGTGGTGCGGCTCTGGCAACAAAGCGCCGTCATACGCAGATTTGGGTAAGTGATGCTGTGTTTGAACTGACCATCATCCAACAGACAGAAATAAGATTGCACTGGTTACCTAATCACATTATTCACATTTTAACAACAAACAGTCTTTGTTATGTTTTGAGATGTGGGCTTTTATCTTATCGTTTATCAGTTATCGTGACACATTTCTTATTAGTTTTCATGATAAAAGGGTTAGGGTTAGTTTTAATATTTTCTCCACTATCATAGCATGTCAGTACATTTGGACATATTTCTAAATGCAGTCACTGTGTGTAGTTTGGTGATACAAATCATACTTTTATGTGATTGGTGTTTTAAGCCTATTACAAATTGCTGTGATTGATGCGCCATAGTCACTTAAAAAAAGAAGAAGCAACAAACAGTTTTCACTTTTATCGCTCTCATCCCGATACTACCGCAAAAATATCGCGATAAAACTTCAAGTTATGTCACAAAGTTTTATCGGTTGTGCGTCTTTTATCGTTGGCCTTTTGAGAAATGCCTTATGATTTATTATACTCTCACTGGCCACTTTATCAGGTATAACTTTTTAAAAAAAATCAAAAGTAGCTAATCAGCCCGTAAAATGATAGTGTATATTTATACAGGCAACTATATCTGGGCCTCTAGATCAAAAACGACCTGCTGACGTCCAATGGCACATCAGAGGTTTTAATTTATTGAGAATTTTCTCTAGTCCACACAGAATCAAGATTATAAGTCAGGTTTATAGCACATTTCAACGACATGATGGTTCAAAGTTTTTATGTGATAAAAACATCACGCAGATACAAGAAATTATGAAACAGCCAATAAGCATTACAATTTGTTTATTGTTTTATGGTTTAGTGAAAGATTGTTTTATGACTTTATAGGAAGATATTTATCTAATTAAGATAAATATCTTAATGACGCCACATAGTTTCAATAGAGTAAATCCTGAGCCTATTTAATCTATTTCATCTATGACAAAAAAAAGAACACTTCTCAAAATTGATCTTGTTGAATAATATTAATAACCATTTAGCTGCTGATTGGTGTTGAAAAATGTAAAATTTGATAGTTTCTCAAAATGTTTGGAATACAGCATGATGCCTCCACCACCGTGCTTAACAGCCAGTAAAGTATTCTTAGGTTTTGAAAGCTTTGACTAGACTTCGCCTACTAACGTTTGTTGTCTCACCTGCCCATAATATTCTTATATTCATATTTGTTTTTCTCCGTGTAGGTTTCCAAGGCAAAATGTGCAAAATAATTTAGTGAAAAAAGAAGATTTTGTTCATTGTGCATCAATAAAAGGTGCTTTATGAAAACTTGTTGCCACTTCTCCTGAGCAAAACTCCCTTTTCCACACTCTCTCCTCCTGCAGGTGTTTTTTCAGACACAGACAGCTGCTGCAGGGAGCATGACCAGTGCAAACACACCATCCTGTCCTTCCAGTCCGACTTTGGCGTCTTCAACAGCAACATCTTCACCATGTCCCACTGCGACTGCGACAACAAGTAACTCGCCGCCTCCCAAACAAAGCCTGCTCCATCCCCAGCAGTTAAAATCGCCACTATCTGTGGTTTTGCTCACGGTTCCCCCTCTGCCCCTCAACCCCCATGCTCTCTGCGCTCCAGGTTTCGCAGCTGCTTGATGGAGGCGAACGACAGCATAGCTGACGTGGTGGGCTACACCTTCTTCAACCTGCTCAAGATGCACTGCTTTACCTTTTCTCACCGGCTCCAGTGCGCCGAGAGGAACTGGTTCGGCATGTGAGTCTTGCTTTGATTCCAAACGTCGGGCAAAAAGCAGCTATACTTTGAGAGCATTGATCTCAGTTTCTAGAAAGAAACGTTTCAAAAGCAGTTCAAGGAACTGGCCGCAACTTTTGGACAGACAAACAAAGTTATCCAATGAGCAAATAATAACTTAGTGCGTGCGTGCGTGCGTGCGTGCGTGCGTGCGTGCGTGTGTGTGTGTGTGTGTTTGTGTAAAGAATCAATTTTGCATGTACTTAGACAATGACAGTACTTTGAAAGAAAGCATAAGGAAGTTAATGCCTTTGCTAAAATCTGGGATTGTGTTGGACCGCTAATATTCACAAAGATTAGCAACTAGAGCCACCCCAAAATTTAACAGTACTTAGGACTCCTTCTAAAAAGTCTTGTATGTTCATATTTTAATAGCTCAAGCAGCAAAATGTACCATAATACGCAATAAGCATACAGTGGAAACCATTTCAGCACTTAATACCGATTGGCACAAAAAAAAAATGGATGGCACTCCTGAATTAGCAGTTTTTGCAAACAATAGCGTCAAATCGCGTTGTGCCTACGTATCCCAGCTTCCCGAGCTGCATTTTCTCTCGACTGTTTCAGGCATGCTCTACAAGTAAAAATATAAACAATAAATAATGCAAGTAGGTGAATTTTCTGCAAATCTTCCCTGAAATTTCAGCAAATTTTGATAATTTTCGCAAACACTGGACCACAAATAGGCGGGTCTCCACATTATCCCCCCCGCAGCAGGATGCTACCACCTCCTTCTTGACAGTAGATGTACATCGTCAACAGGGAAGGCTTTCAGTCTCAGTTGACATAGAGCCTTCATCTTCATCTTGTCAAAGCTTATCTAGCCTTGGAGGGGAACTCAAAGTGTTCTTTGTTGACAGTAAACAATATGAATGTGAACTTGAAGAACAAGGGAACAGTGTCAGTATTGGTCATCTTAAACGTTCCTGCGTAGAATATTTTCCCTCTCGTCATTTCTCCCTTTGCTCTGACCTCACAGGTGTAAAAAGACTCAGATGGCGCTGTACGCCGACGTCCACTCGCCCGCGCTGTACGAGTCCAGTGAGTCCAAAGAGGGCTGCATCAACGGCTCCTGCTCCGACGTCAACTCCACCGCACCCGCACGACTCCACGAAACAAACGCGTCACGTCCACACCTGCTGTCCTCCACCGCTGCCACGGAAACGCTGTCCTCAGCCTCAGTCACTCCCTCCGTTACCGGAGCGACCGATGCTTCGAACTCCACAGACGCAGAGGCGTCAGCATTGACCGTGAGGAGAGATGACCCGGGGAACGTTTTACCCTTCACGCCGCTCACTGCGGTTCGGCAGCACAACGCAGTTACAGGTACTTCAACCTGACGGCGCCTGGCGCAGTTGGTTTGGTTTTACACTCTGTTGCTGAAACTGAAATCCCCCCTGATGTTTGCATCCCCTCCACAGAGGAGGACAGGTCTTGCCTTCTGTACAAAGAACTTGATGAGTGTAAGAACAAGATCCTTCCGCAGCAGAGGAAATATGGCCTCCTCAACACAGAGGCAGGAACGCTTTATCACTGCAACTGCACCGCCAGGTAAGTCCAATCATGTTTTCACACTAACGTCTGTGTGTCATATTTGGTCAACGCAACCCCTGATTCAGACTGATGGGCGGTCCAGGTAATTGGTCCGTTCATTGGCCAGTGAGCTGCGTTTCGGTTCTGCCTTCTAACACATATGTAGTCTGCTCTTAAATGACACAAACTGTGTGGTCTCAGTATGTATTGATAATAAAGAAGCAACTCATACATCATCTCTAAAATACCGAACACTAGTTTTTGCAAAGCAACCTCAGACCCAATGATAACAAAACACTCCTCTTTCTGTTTGCGTGTGTGGGTGTGTGTGGCTGCTTACACAAATCAGACGTGGGGAGACATTTCATAACACAAAACTGGACCAGGCCCAGTGTAAACATTGACCTGCTTATGTAAGACGGTGGCTCTTTGACAGGCCTTTACGTCTCTGGACGTTACCGTAGCGCCACAGTGACACACAGCTGAACAGACTATTTAATTAATTTATTTTTCTGAAACGTATTTGACGTTTCTCTGCACGTCCTTGCAGACTGTTCCACACACTGACTCAACAGAGACGACTGAGCAACGTGGAGACTCTTCTGATTGGACATGTGTCTCACTCCTGCTTCCTGCCCCAGGACTGCACGTCAAGCAGCAAGTCAGTATTTACACACACACATACAGCGTTGTCATGGACATAATATTGCATAATCATTCTGTGGGACAAACTCTTTAATTAACCCACTGTAAAAAGTTTGTCCAAGTACTTTTAATAAACCATCACAGCAGAACAAAGTTATACAAAAAGAGAAAACATTTTGAAAAAATGTTAGTCTTTGATTGGCTGAAAGTCTGTAACAGATTTTCATCTTCTTCTATCGTGGCAAGAAGCTGACGATTTATAAAATAAATAGCAGGGCTCTGTCAAGTATCTCTAAATTCACAAAAATTAATTATGAACATTAGCGTGGCGTAACGCATAAATGGAATTCAGAGCTAAAGATGTTTGATCGATGTGACCCCAGTGGGTCTGCCGCACCAAATAAAAGCGACCAGATCAAATCAGCATTTTTCACATCCGAAGAATAAAGTGCTGTTAATCGACAGACGTTAGTCAAATCTTGAGAAACGACCAGCAAAGGCCGACAGATGTAATTGACGTCTCCACATTTACAAAGATTCGTTGCCACATCAGTGTGCTCCATTCGTTTCATTTCATTTAGATTTATTTAATTCGTTCACAGTTTAAAATGACCATGCGGCATGTTGACGTGAACTAAAGTTCTGAACGGAAAGCAGTAAAAAAAAAAAAACTCATATAATTTATTCCTTATTTCTTATATATTCTACATTAATATAATCTAAGCTAATATATGTAAAATTACAGAGATGGAGATTAAAACGTTTTCATTTACGGCTTTGCAGCTGCACTGCGACGTTGGTGACAGCAGCACTTCCTCGGCTGGACCCAGCTGGTGTTGAAAGGGCGGAGCGGCGACACCTACAGGCAGAGAGGCGGAAGGGCAGGAGGCCGGGCGGGACGAAAGCAAAGAGGAAAGACCGAGCCGTGAGACTTTACAAGCTGTGTGTGAGAATGACTCGACCAGACAATCCGGGAGGAACAAAAAACAAGTCCAAAGCACAGAACCGCCTAATGTCACAGGAACAGAGGTCAACTGAACGGCCAGTAGCAGGGAGGACAAAAGACATTGTGGAATAAGTGATTAAACATGGTTTTATAGGACTTTATTCAAACAAAGAAACATATTTCAATTATTTTACGTTTTTCCCCTCAATGAAAGATTTTTTTTTTAAAGAACGTTTAAAAAAAACTTTAATAATTCAGCAAAAGTAAGTCTTAGTTGTTTATACAAATCAACCTTGAGCCAATCACTGTTATTCTTATTTCAGCTCTCTTCAATAAAGTTACTATATATTAAGCTTTTAGGTTGAAAAATTAAATAAAAAAAAATTGAACATGGAAAACTTACAGACATTATTTCCAAGGCAACCTTGTTGAATAATAATCAGCGTTAAAGCGGTTAGTCCTTCTGGAAATGAATGCAATGTTGCCTCATGGCCAGGAGAGGGCGGTGGTTTCCATACTTTGAAACTACAATCTTTAATCGGCTCTTAGGCCGACAACAGAACAAGTCATTTTTCTTTTATTCTCTCCATACAGCAAACATTTCCCCCAGCAATGTATTTTAGTAAGAAAAAGTGAATAAAGAAATAAAATAAGAAATTGGAATACAAAGACTTTTACAATAAAGATTAATGTTTTTTCTCAACATTTCTGAGATAATAACTGGCAGATATTTATTTCACAATGTCTTATGTTTTATTCAGAACTGAAAACTTCTTTGGGACCCTGTTGACTATTGCACTATTATATATTTATTTGATCAACCTCTGAGTCGCTGAGGAGCTTAAGCCAAACTCCTTCTGGAATCTGGGAAATGCATTTCTTCTTTAGTGGAACGTTGCAGAACTTACTTCCGAGGAAAGTTGAGCCTGAGGATGGTTCACGTTTCTGCTACTGCACTTCATATAATGTATTGATCTGCTCCAGATCTGGTGCCTGTTTCTCTCCCCAGCTGGTTCGAAAATGTGAAAAATGACGGCTTCAAAAATGTTCACGCTCTTGTTACGACGCCACCTGTTGGTGATGTGGAAACCCCCCCCCCCCCACCCCCAAAAAACGTGACAGTCATAAATCCTTTCAAATGTTTTTCAGATGATGTGACATTTATTACGTGGAGTTCAACTGAAAAACAAACAAACATGTCGGAGAGAAGGAAAGAAAATCAAACCTATTTGATTATGAGGGCAATTTTAGCTCCGGACTTTGACTAGGTCATACCAGAACTTTAATATTATGCTAATAAAGGCTTTATTTTTCTTGAGCTTCAAACACCTTGATTGTACTTAAAGTACTGTAACCCCAGAGCATGACCCTGCCACCAAATTAATAACTTTTCTCCAAAATGTTGCACAGGATAAGTGTCACATGATATGTGGGGGAGGGGAGAATTGTCATGTTTTTAGTTTTACATAAAAAAAAAAAAACATCTGATGTGAACATGTTTGTTAGCTGCTGTCTGTCTGTAGCCCAGCTCCTATTGGGGCACGTTGAAGTTGTATTTATACAGAATTCTTGTGATAACCTTTGTAAATGTGTAAATGTTGGTTGGCGTTGCAATGAGCTGGAAATCATTTGTAATACTTGTACATAAGAAGCACTGATAAAAATTTAGATTTATGAACATAAACTTTTTCTCATTGTGATTTTTTTGGTTCATCAGAGAAGGAAATTTGTAGCTGATGCAAAAAAAAGAGAGAAAATGCTTGGAAAAAAGGTTGTAGACTTTCACTTCCATAGAAATTAGGACCAGAAATATAACAGGAATGGCTTGAATAATCAGGAGAAAGTTGTTCAATGCATAAACAGCAGCAGTTTTCTCCAGGTCGCCGCCCCGTGACAGACTGGCGCCCTGGGTGGACTCCCCATGTTAAATAAACTATTTTTTTTCCTCAAACATTTTCCCAGATAGTTTAAACTGGAAGATTATAAAAATCTAATTTCCCAGCAGGCATGTTAAAAACAAGCTGGATATTTTAGAGATTTTTTTAATATATAAAAAAAGACCAGTTTCCTGTTATGTTTGGTTATAATTTTCCTCGTGCCTAATAAGAACCAAGTCCACGCGGTGCTCGTTTCCCCCCGCGCGCGCACCGTCACTGTGTGCGGCTTTTGTCGGGCCTCGCAATGTTTATCAGGTAACTCAATTCCCCTCTGATGTCATGAGGAGTAATTGAAACCTTGCCGAGAGCTGCAGCCATGGAGCCGACCGGATCCCCGCCTCTCACCGGACAAAAATTCCGCTATGGGGAGGATCGGCAGCGGGGAACATGGCGCGTTCACTGCGGATTAACTCTCCGCCGAGGAAAACTTTGGAAAGTGTCGACGTAACGCGCGCGTGCCGCTGAGTCGCGAGGACTCGCAGCACTCATCACCGGGGAACCGACGGGACCGACTCCGCGGGCCGGTTTTTGGATGGTGTCGGAGGCTTTTCCTGCCCTCCCTCACTTCTGCTGCAGCCGCCGCTGCTGCGGGATCAAAGTTTGGAGCAGCGGGCGGAGGATTTAGCGGGGATGGAAAAGCCCAGAGCGAGGAAGGAGAAGGTGAGGCCGGTGGAAACGTAAATTGGTGGGGGGAGAAACGTCCCGACTGCCGGAGGGAAAAGAGCTTTTAAAATATATATATAGGCTATATATTAAAAAAAAGTGCAGGTTGCTCACATATTACGAAGTGTGACATCCTTCAGGATTTATGAGGAAAAAGTCTGAAAACATAGGCGGTCCAAAGCTGTTTGGGACCCTGAGCAGAATTTGGTTTGGGGGCTTTCCAGCTAACAGTCACCACAGCTAACCCAATAGCTTATTTTCCTTCTTCACCACTATTTATGCATTTTATATCCAACATAACCTCATCTATGTACAAATTCTATATATATATGGACTGCTTAGTGACAAAAATAGTGTTTTATCAATAATGTATACTTTACATAATTTTTATATTTAAAATATGCTTGTAAATATATTTAGAATCAGCTGTTTTTTCATATTTTAGAGCATGAGTCACCAACCTTTTTGCTATAGAGGCACTTCATCGGTACTATGTGATACAAAGGGCTGCCAAAAATTGACACAATTTATTTTTACTTCACTTAATCAATAATTTATGCGATTTTGAACAGGCGCTGTGTTGGAGACCCCTGTCAGAGGTTTGTACCTGTCGAGTGGAAAAATTTAAGCTTCAGAGCAGTACTCCCCCCACCATGCTGCCATTCCGCTCCTTCAAACCAGCCAGGGCCAATTAGCAAACATCTTGTTTGCTAATTGGCCACTTCTCAGTCTGAAGTTGGTAAAAAATGCTTTTAAAGGGTTATTAAAGGAGCCATGTGGTGATGACTTCCTGGAGGCGGAGTTTCAGAGACAGCAGAAAGGCCCAATTTCAAGGCTTCAAATCATGAAATCAAATATCTTTTAAGTCATATTTCACAGATATGCAGCAATTCTATAACAACCAAAGTTACTTGAACATAGTTACTTGATTGTGCTACAAAGTGACAACATTTGGCTAGCCAGCAAATAGTCATAGGTTTTAGAAAGCTAACACTGCTCATCATTGTGAACATACCATCCCAATGTGAGATAACGTGGGAACAGTATTATATGGTGTGGAAGGGAAATTTTAATAAGATTAAAAAAAAAACAATTTAGAAATTGAAAAAATGAGAAGAGTAGGAAGGAGTTTCTTTAGTTAGATGAAACCAAAATGTAACGTTTTGGCAAATGCTACATATTAAAAAAACCAAAAACAAACGAAGGGTCAGACCGTACCTTGAACACAACATTCCCATTGTGAAACATAGTGATGGCAGCATAGTGCTGTGGGGATTACTGTCTTCAGCACGAAAAGGGAAGCAACAGATTTCAGACCGGGCCAGGACAGTGAGCCATGACTGGTTCAGTCAAAGTACAGACCTAAACCCAATTGAGAATCTGTGCCATGACTTGAACAATGAATGTTTGCAGATCTAATGAGCGAGCTTGAGTCACTGGAGAAATTGTCTGGAGTCAATTTCATATCTGAAGTTAACTCCTGTTTGATACTTCTTAATCTTAAATTCAAAGTTTAATGATCATATTCAGGTGGAGCAGTCGTTCTTTCAGCTTTGGAGTTTTTCCCCCTCATATATTGGTGTTGTTCTTCAGAAATGTCCTCCCTGTGACCCGGGCAGAGACGGGGGCAGTGAATAGTAAGACGGGGTGACAAGGGAAGCGTGTTTGCCAACAGTCTTGGAAGGACTGAGCAGGATATTCACGCTGTGTTCCTGTTGCAGCGCTGCTCTACTGACTGCAGCTCGAACAGTCTCTAAAACTTTCATCATCTGTGTGTCTGCTTAAATATGCTCTGTGTTATGGAGAAAATGCAACATGCAGGAATATTTATACAACTATAGATTTATGCTTGTTGAGTCTTTCTTCTTCCCACCTGTGTGTGTGTGTGTGTGTGTGTGCGCGCGCGTGTGTGTGTACAGTACTGACCAGCTAACACAAAACTCATTCATCAGGTGATGCTGTTTAGATCTTGATAATAATGAACTTAAAATTAAGGGTGTTCCAATACAACGATATCGCTGCTTTGAGTGTTGGCTGATACCGATATCGGCCAGATTAGATAACAGCAGGAATCATACACATTATTATTACTTGTTTTGCAGTGTGGAATGTCAGGAAATAGTTGATCTAGTGATATTAGTCAAGCAGAGAACAATAGTCAACAACAGTAGGTCTGAGAACAACTGACCCACTCATTATTAACCATTATTATCCTGTGTTCAGGATACGAGTGCTGCTGGATAGAAATGCTGGAGAAGGCTAAATTCTGGATGGACTGATTTCTGGGATGGACTAAATGCTGGAGCGGAGTAAATGCAGGGGTCGACTAAAGACCGGGGGACACTAAATGTAGAATGGAATAAATATCAGGACGGACCAGCTGCTGGGTCAGACTAAATTCTGGGTCAGACTAAATTCTGGGGTGGACTAAATGCTGGAACAGAGTACTTTTGTCAACTTGCATTGCCAAAGATTGTAGATGCAGGCCAATATAACCTGATACTGCTTTTTTGGCTGATAGTGGACCAATTTCCAACATCAATATCGGATCTGGACAGCTCACTGAAAATAAATAATGTGAAGGGAACAGTGGCAAACAAGCTAACTGTTTAGCAACGCAGCTTCTCTTTCATCAACACTTCACACCAGTGAAAAGCCTGAAAGAAGCTCATCTTTTAAACCTTCCAATTTTCAAAAACTAAAAAAAAAACCTTCAATAAAGATGTTAGGACAAAAGAAAAAACAAAAAGAAGTTGTTGACATCCAGGCAGCGATGTTTACTTTGATGCCACAATCGTCCTGGTTTGTTCTTAGAAATAAAACACATTGAAATAAGTGAAGATGGATAAACAGGCTTGTTTAAAATGGTGAAAACCTCCATAGAGCAGATGCTTTACTCGTATCAGAAACGTGAGGCTGACAAGCGCCTCCGATCTATTTCAAGTAAATCTTAAGTACCACTTCAAGTTTTCTGGCGTCTTCGTCAACAATGTTGGACGAAGCATTTTGAAGGCGTAGGAATCCCTTTAGCTCGTGTGCGTGTGTGTGTGCCTGTGGCGATTTGTAGAGAGATAATGACGGCCTTGGTGTAAGCTCTGGTGAAGGCCCAGATTTGGAAACACCAGATCAGAGGGAGGCAGCTCTCTGGAAGCGCCTCGCTCTCGGCCGTAGTGAAAACATTTTGAGCCCAGGTTTCAGCAGCCGCGGCGAAGGGAATAAGAGCAGAAAACAGTTTGACTTTGTCACTCCCCCCCTGCGTCTTCCTGAAGAGTTGCAGTGGTTACGGAACAGCAGGATAGGGACGTGAACGCTGCAGTTTCTCACTGCATCATAAAATTCATATGAGGCAGCTACTGTTTGCTGTTATTTTGGGTATCTTTCCATCTTCAATAATGTTACTTTTGTGTGTGAAAATGTAACTGACTGACATTCTTCGAGTGGGCTGTTGTTTTAGTGACGGCTTCAAATACTGGAAAATTACATTTAAATCAATTATTACTTCTGAAATGTCTGTTATATAAAGCATCGTTAGAGAATGGAATCATTTCTAAAAAATTTTCAAACTTTACATAATTCTCACATGATGGATAATTCCAAAAATGTTTCCAAGTTTTAGTTCGAACACACATCCTGTGTAGTTGGATGCATTCAGTGTAACATTTGGTTTTAGTTTTTTCCTGTTTCCATTTAGATTAACTCTTTATTGTTCAGCCAGTCCAGTTCTCACGACATCACATCGTTCCTCAGTTATTCTTTGTTTTCTTTTAGATCCAACTGCCATTAAACATGACATTCAGGTACAGATCTGTCTCCAATGTCAATTGATTTACGGACCGATCTTTTTTAAAAACAAATGTTTGAATCCAACAAACAGCATTTGTTGGATCCAACAAATCCAACATTTCAATCCAATATGTTGGATTAAATTTCTACGGTGGCGTGTTAGGGCCATTGTAGATAAAGAAATGAATAATAACAAAAAAAGAGTACATGTCTCAGACATTTTCTCGGAAAAAAAACAAGAACATTTCTGAGTTTGAGAAATTAATTTTCAAGAGAAAAATGCAGACATTTTTAGATTAACTTTACGGAACTCAGAAATTTCCAAGGTTTTTTGTCTAGAAAATTTCTTGGCTTAATTAAAAACTTAGTAGTAGGTTTTTTTTACAAATATGATTTCTGGAAGATTTTAATGAGACCAAATTCCATGGGAATATATTGGACAGTAGTCTGATGAAGATCATGTAGCTGTTAGCATGGTGCTACCACATGTTGAATAAGACGGCTACTCAATTTAAAGCAGTTATTTAAAAAAAAGAAAAAAAAAAACAAGTGATTTTGATTATATTTTTTACTAATAGACACATGAATGTGTTGTTGTTTTTGCTAACCATGTCCTCCTCCTGTGTCTTCTCCACAGTTCTCCCTTTTTGGCTCTCGCTCCACCGGCAGAGCCACCAACCCTTCCTCCTCATCCTCTCGCTCTTCATCTCCCGGGATCCTCTCAGCCAAAGGCGGGAAAAGCCGGGATCGGATTCCCGGCTCCGGTGGTCCAGTCGCCCTGAGCAAAGCCGAGTTCTTGGAACGTGTGCGCCGCAGTAACCAGGCCTGCCAGCAGGGGGAGTTTGCGCTGGCTGTTCGTCTCTACACTGAGGCCCTCACCGCCGACCCGCAAAACTGCATCCTGTACAGCAACCGGTCTGCGGCCTACCTCAGACTGGGACAGCATGGCAAGGCTCTGGATGACGCAATCAAAGCCCGTCTAATTAACCCCAAATGGCCCAAGGTAAGACGCTTGACCTTTGATGACCTTACGGTTTTAATTGTAGTCGTTTGAGTAGAGTAATTGGATTTAAAAGTGTAAGTAATGATCAAGTCAGAGCAAGAAAAACAATAATCTCTTGAGATCAAAAGTCAAAATTATTTTTATGTCTTGGCGCTAATTGTCTTCCGTACACCAGCGTAAAATGTTGCTCAAATATAAATTAAACGCCCGCAGCTTGTGGGATGTGGCTAACTCCAGCTGTGCTTTTACGATGCCTTGTAAAAGTGTTATTTGTGATAAACCAACGCAAAGTAGTGTGTAATTGTGAGGGGAAACCAAATTTTTGTCTGGATTTTTATTTTTATTTTTTAAAGCGTCTCAGACATTTGTATGCAGCCATCCAGAGTGAAAGCTGCGTAGAACTGCATTTAACTCGGCTGCAGCCGCCAGTCTTTTAGGGAATGTCTCAGGAGCAGGCGTCTCCAACCGTCATCCTGGAGATGCAGCTTTTGCCAAACTTGATGACATGTTGAAGATTCAGCTGGCTGGAAAGCTGTTTTAAATGAAAGCTACTTGGTCAAAGTAAGTATTTTTATTTTAGAGCTTCATGTTAATGATGCGTCTATAGTAATGGTCCTAAATCAAACCACTCACTTGAAGAAAACCAGATTTAGACCGCATGAATTGCCTCTCTCCTCCCCTAAAGGCTTGAAGTGGTCGTCTGCATCTAAACAGTGGAAAGTCAGAGAATATACTCCGAGTCCTTCAAGTCCTTTCAGAGAGGAAAGTGGGCAGTCGGAGGACTACCTCTGTCGGGACAGCTGGTTCCCAGCCAGCTCCGCTCCGCTTCCTTTCACAGTGAGAGAGAATGGACGGAAGTGGTGTTTGGGTGTGTATCCGAGCAGTGTGTGTATGCGCGTGTTTGTGTGCAAGTGTGAGATAGCTTTGCACGGCTGTTATTTTGTTTTGGAAACCCTGGCAGGCCTTGGCCCGAGTTTGGTACTTAAAGACAATACCAGAAGCAGCATTCCTGTGTGTGTGCGTGTGTGTGTGTGTGTGTGTGTGTGTGTATGTGTCTGCATAGTGGCAGTGTCATTGCTGTGAGCTCACTGCAGCATTCGCTTTGGGTCAAAGCTAAGGTCAGAACCGATGAACTACCAGAAAGAGAGACTCTTTCTGCTTCACTTAATTCTTTCTACCCTTCAGTCGGCCATCTTTGCTTTCTTCTCTCCTCCTTTTCTTCTTCTGTGTTTGCCTGCCACAGTTTGTCCCATTGCTGCCCCACTGACTTGTCTGTTGGCCCAGCGCTCTCAAACACGCATTATCTGAATCTGGCACACACACAAATGGAGCGACTCGGTCATGGGAACGGAGTGGTGGAGTCGGTCAAAAGTCGCTGAAGTTTGGGTGCTTATCTGGATAACAGCGCGCTGGCAGGCTGGCAGGCTGGCAGGCTGGCAGGCTGGCAGGGCTTCTTTGCATTTCGATGTCGTTTTCGTTTCGTCTGTCCGATGCGAAGATTTTTGAGAAAGCCTTTTTGTTTCTTTGTGATTCAAATGAAGCTAAACCACACAAGGAAAACTTGTTGCAAGAGTGAAAGCCTTTCCTTTGACTGAGAAGAAGTTTTTATATGCTTACACCGACCGGCTGGTTGCATGGTCATTTTATTGTTTGGTACTTTTGAAGACCAAATAATAAAAAATATAGGTTTTTTTTTTTCAATTTTAGATATCTAAGCTGATAGAAAAAGTGAAACTTTCTGTTTGTCAGCTCACAGGTGAAGAAGTGTTAGTTTACAGAAAACCTGAAGGAGGCGCTGTGCTGCCCATTCAGTTCCACGAGGATGTGTTTCAGTATGACAGAGCTCTTTTTATTTTGACAAATAAATAGAGATAAGTGAGTCCCCTCAATTTCAAATGGATCAAATGTAATGTTAGGACCTTAGTCTGTCAATTTAAATTTTTAAACTTTGTTTTCAGTATGGCCCTATACAACACTCACAGGGTTCTCCAACCGGCCATTTGAGGAGAGTCATCATCTTAAAGCAACCCATCATAAAAATGATTGTGACGGCCCTGCTGTGCTCCCTGCATGTCATTATTTTCAGATGCTGCCTGGCAAAAATGGGACAGTAAAATATCTGTTGAACTTTTACGGGATGGATTTGCATTTAGCTCTATTTAGAGCGTTCGACAATTACTCGTTAAAGAATTTGAATTACTATAAGTTACAACAACATTTAATTTCCCTTTGGGATCAGTGAAGTATTTTTGAATTTGAATTTGAACAGTCCAGAGAGAACTGCGAGTCTTTCAGGGGATGTCTCTGCAGCACCTAGAAAACAAAATTAGTCTTTTTCTTCTTTTTTTCCCTTTTTGTTTTGCAAAATAGCTGAAGCCCAGTCAGACTGGTGGAGCCAACTGGGTGTTCCCAATGGGGGCGACACCATACAATTTGAAAAAATATAAGATTTGTTTGTTTTATTTAAATGTTCTGGTTATCAGAGATACTTCAACCAATAACTAAACACAATACATATGTTTTAAGAAACAACAATGCTAAACGCATAGAGAATAATTTTGATTGGAGGTATAAACTTGAGGAGAAGGATTTGTGAAACTAAAGAAAAGCAGCTTCATCCTTTCCTGGCACACGATTAGCCGCAGTCTGGTTCAGCTCGACGTTACTCTGAGGGTTCACTCAGAAGGAATCAGTGCAGATCATCAGGAAGGTGGAGGCAGACCAGATGGCTGCCCGCTCCGCCTATTGACAGAGCAGCCAGAGGAGTTGGCCCCGCGTCGCTCTGGATAACTCTGTCATTAAGAAACGTCTCGCCGACCGCACGCTGCACGGACGATTACTCGCATGTGGGCAAAGACGCTCTCATTTCTTCAAGTGGGACGAGCAGGAAGGGTTTGCTTTTGGAAGCCTCCCCACATCAAACCGTTCAGGCTCTTTCAGAGTAAAAGCTGCTTTTGTGCCGAGAGTGAAAAGCGGTGGAGAGCTTCGTCCAGGTCAGCCGGGAGACACAGAGCATGAGATGGGGGAGGAGTCTCCAGAGGAAATGATTTCATGGAAATGAGTTTCTGTGAACTTGAAATACAGAATTTTCCATCTTTATTCAGTTTTTCTTCTAAAATAAATGATGTAGCTGCAACCTGTGGGTCCAGAACCTCATAGGATCTTCTATAATGGCTATAAAAAATGTCAGATAAACATGAAAAAGAAACAACTGAAGTGGTGAAAATAGGTATAAAAAGAAATACATTTATTTACTACATTACTACATTTAATTTTCACAGCTAAATCACAGTAAAATTGCTGTCTTAGCAATTCATGTAAAAAAATGTTTTTGAAAAAGTTCTATGTTTCTTTACATAAAATAAAAAAACACTTATACTCCACTGATTTACAAAATTGAAGCGTTTTTCAATGCCATATTTGTGCAAATGGAGTAGATGTCTGCTTTTTTTTGTTTTTCTGTTTTGTTTTTGTTGTAATTTTTCCACTTTTCAAACTGAGACATTTTCAATTTTTTTTTTAGAAAATCTCTCAGAAATTTTCTGGAAAAAAATAAAATAAAATTTTCATCTGAAAATTTAGTTGAGCCTTTTGGCAGAAATGTACTCCTTCTCTTTTTTTTCTAAGACTCCATCGTCAGTTATGCTACTTTTATGCAAAACCCGTTTATTTGTTGTTTGTTGCTCTTTCTGATCCCCATTAGCATCAACAGCATCCGCTATTCTTTCTAATTCACATAAAAAGACAGATCATATTTTCCAAAACACCATAACAATGAAGCATTAAAATGACACGTTCTATTCTACCTGTATCGTTCCTCTTATTGAAAAAAATATGTTTTAGTCAAGCCTCAGAGAAACACAGATCAGTTCATCGCCTGGTGCCAGAATATGACTGAAGAGGATTTTTTGAGAAACCACTAGAGAGCAGCACTGACTTGTGAAATTTCCTTCACATCCACAAAGGAAAGTGAACAGTTCTTGTTGCCAAAGCGACTGCGTTGCCCTCTGATGACCCACATCACATGAGGCTTGGTAACACATAGGATGTAATCCACCCCAGCTGACTGACTTCCCCAAAAATCTGTCTCAGGAGCTGCTCTGTGTTATCGGCCACCTAGTGTTTGCTTTCTTTTCCTCCTTTTTTCTTTTTGTTCCCCTGAACATCTCTCTCGCATTATGTGCATCAGCAGGAGGGCCTACTGCAGCTTCCTTTGCGTCTCTCAGACCCGATAATGTTCTCCCATGCTGCTGGCTCTGCGTCTCCTGCTGTCGCAACTCCTGCAGAACATAATGAGTTTTATTTTAGCTTGCAAGGAGAGTTGGGGTTAATTTTCAGGTAATCGGAAGATGTGTGCCTATACTGAGACTTTTTTTTTTTTAAATACGTAGCCAGCCCGAACCAAAAGCTGCTGACTTAGCAGCCAAACACAAGTTGCTGGTGAAGGATTTTTTGCTTCTCAGCTCAACTCTGTGTGCAAAGAAAGGGGGAAGATAAGACAAGTGGATTAATGAAAGATTGTCTCAGTTTGATGTGAACGAAGCATGGTGGGGATGCTTCACACGATGAGGCTTTCGCTCTGCAGATCTATAAGCGCACACTGGCAGCAGCTAGCCAGCGCTAGCTGCTGCCAGTACGCCGCCCATAAATCTGATCTGTATTACCTAGAATTTACTTTTTTCAGCTTTGCATAGTGATAATGTAGTTGCCTCATCAAAAACATACCTGGAGTGCTGCCTTGATTCTTTCATGCACATTTGAGGACTCCTTTAATCTCCATGGCAACCATTTTGCTCCACAAAACGCCTGGGTGGACCTTGCCCCGCCTTCGAGACGCAGCTCTTCCTCAGAACTACAGTTTCCAAGCTACCAAGTTTCTCCCCCACTCGGCTCCTTCAGACTAGCCAGCAGCATGTAGCAAAGACCTGGTACCACTGTATATCTACTGCGCTCATTATACGAGCTACTTCTCAGTGCTACACTGATGAAAACCTTGTATGAGGGAGGAGCCAAGGAGTTAAAATATGAAGTCAATTTTCTCTAAAGCCGTATTTGAGATGTACAAAATTTCTAATGATATTTATATAGAAAATATAAATTGATTAGTTTTGAATTAAACCAGCAAATTAAGCTTAAAAAAACAGAATCCTTTAAATTGATTGTATTTAACTAAACTTAATTCAGTGTTATAGACCTAACATAAATTAATCAGTTTTTTTAATTCTACTCATTCATTCATTGTCTTGCATTTTCAAACAACTTGTTGAAAAAGGACAGGCCTCCTGCAGCAGTCGTGTCATTCTTTGCTTGGTAAAGTAACAGGAGAAGGAAAAGGCAGACTTTCACAAGAAATGCTTTTCAATTAAAACCTGCCAGCAGCCAGTATGTGGAGAACATTCAAACTCCGTACGAAAAGAGCCCAGGCCAGGATTTAAACCCATGACCTCCTTTTTGGAAGGCCATAGTGCCCCCAGTGGCTGCCGAAGGTGCATTCACTTTGCAAAAATGGAGCTGATGTTTGCGTTTCAAACATATTAACCGACTTATTTTTTGGTGCAGCTCTTAAAAAAAATCTGGTTCAAATGCCAACCCTCAGAATTCAACCATCAGTTTCTGAATCCCACACTTTTCTATTTAATTTGGTAGTTCCTTGTTCCCCCAACTTAATAGTCTGCATAATTACATACTCTAAAGTGTAATTAAAACTAAACCAAAGCTGTGCACTTTGACTGTTTCCTCTATATTTCACCATTGTAAAATAATCCCAAGGTATTTCTGATTTCTGTTTTTCCTGAAGTTTGGCGGCGAGACAAATAGACAAACCGACACATTTAATC